AGCCTGAATTCCTACAATCCAGTTAGCTACCCTAGCCCTGATCCAGCCTCGTCCTGAATTTAGAGCAATTGACACGAACTGGAACACGCCGTGATAAACTAACGTTTCCGATAGGCTTCCTAAGACAGGTCGAACCGGCGTTCTCCGAGCCGGAAAACTGTAAAATGCCTTCGAGGAACGTTCGAACTTGTTCGATTGCTGCAACTTCCAGATTTCGTCGTTTCATTAACTGTCCTTTGCCTTTAATCGCGATCGATTTATATCGAGTATTTCTACGATGTTGGCGAATGGAAAATTAAATGGCGAAATAAGAACAAATTTTCTACTTTGTATTTTATATTTTATACTTACAGAGGCGTGTGTTCTAAGAAACTGAAGAGTAGATTTTAGCGATTGGTATTTTATTGATGATCGATCGGGTATAAGAATTTAATTTGTGATTGATGTCTTGGGTATTTGTATTGTTAAGATGTGTTTCTTTGGAATTTCTCTATAAATTGATATTTGTTGCTATTCCTTTCCCTCATGCAAATTTATATAATCTACTGAAACAATAATTATGGTTATGAAAAATAATTATGAATCATGTAACTGTGATTATGATAATGAAGTATTAGTAGTAACGCGATCAGTCGTAAATTAATCCGCTGAATTTCAACTTACCATTATTATTGCACGATTTTAACGAAATTTATTACAGACAGATCGTATTGCTGGCAAATATATTTTCTAAAAGAATATTTTACAATGTTTACGAATTTGTACATAGCTCCACTATTTAGATCGTAATTTTTACGAATATAATTTTTGCAGAAACAATATCGATAATAAAACATTTGAAAATATGGAACTCGTATCTATATCAAAAGAATCATATCAATAGTGAGAATTTATTCTTGCAATTCGTATGACAAAAAATCATTGTATACTGTGTCTAAATATTTTGACTATTTAGACTATGTCCAAAGGTTGATAACTATGCGTGTACTATGTGTAGGAAGCGTTTATTTTCACATTCCCATTTAGTGAGATACAATTACATTAAGAGAAAGTGTTGCTCTTCTATAAATGTACGTCGATATTTTACTTTAGGCATGCTCTAAACATGAAATAGTAAATCAAATATTTACACTATTTGCTACTACGTGTAGAAACCTGTTATTTTTTACATCTGAAATTCTTTTATCACGTTTAGCGGGATTCAATGAAATTAAGAGAAGATTTCGCTACCCTGTACACGCACGTCGATATTCAATTTTGAACATAGTCTAAACATACGATAATGTAGTCAAATCTTCAAACTATTTATATTAATCTTCAAACTGAATATCGACGTGTATTATTTTACGGAACAGCAAAAGTTTCTGTTAATTTAATTAAGTCTGGCTAAACGAAAATGTGAAAGTAAGTGGTTCCTACACATAGTAGCGTGACTATGTTATTATCAACAATATTTTATTACTTTTCAGCAACGTGGAGCGATGCATTGCGATAAATACGATCAGCACGTTCATTTGTTACTCGCCAATGACGCGAATCTAATCTTGGAATATTAATCTGTGATGATTTTTTGCCATGTCAATCTGACACCAAGTGATAACTTGGAAAAGTGAGGGCTGGTTGATGGCTAATAGACATAACATAACATTACCGTTATTTTCTTCTGAACTTTGCTCTACGACTGGTAGGAAAGATTATTCGAATTTGATGTTTGCTACGCAAATTCAAAACAAACGTAGAGTATACGGAATAGCGCTAAATAATAATGGCAGATATGTACGTGGGACCACGACTCAGGCGGAAAATTTTTCTGTTTCCTCGGACGTTCATCGAATAGCAATGGAACTGCAAGGAATATACGTTTAATGTTTCTGCTCGGAGCAGAAACGTTCCACGCGTGTGTGTTATACTGTAAACTATAGAGCTAAACTTTGATCAGCCTCGTTGCTCAACAATGAGTGAACAGTGGAGCGTAAATTCTCATATTTGGAGCCGAGGAATAGAACATTTTTCTGATACACCGTACGAAAACCAAGATCATCGTAGTATTATTTTAAAATGACGTGTGGAATTTAGTTCCATCTTTCTATAAAATGAATTCTCGATATTGCGAGTTTAATGGAAATTCAATTTAATTTGCGAAAATTGTCTTGCTCAATGAGAGTCGAGTTACGTGAAAATATTAAGGTCTAGTAAATTTAGGAGTTGATTTGAAAATCGGATAAACGAAGATAATTTCATTTTGTTCTACTTGACTTCGAAATTGAACTCGTTAAGAACCAATAATTCACAAAGATTTATTTACTTCTCTGTATTAAGTTACTTAGGTTAAAATAATTCCCCACGTTTGTCTAACAATTTTATTGTTACAATATATACTACTATACTATGAAGCATACTATATACATATATATACTACGAAGCATATTCTATTTTGCTTTAATATTCTTTGTGAATGGGCGCGGTCATTTCAAAACTTTATATCAAGAAATGTGGGATATACGTGTTTCTACATTTTTTAAATTATTTAACAATCAGACGCGAAGAAAATTTCTAAACATTAAAACAGTTGATATTTCAATATTAATAGCGCAGAGGATATTCCGATAAATTTTTGAACGGAAATGTAACAATCTCTGCTGCGTTAGATTCAGAAACGATTCTTTTATGAAACGCTCATAATTTTTTTGTTCATTGCTTTTATTAAATAATATGTAATTATAAACGATATTGACCCATATTATTCGTATGTTCATCGCAGTTATATTTATAATACTTTACAATATTCTTCAACTTTATTATACAACCTAGTAATTAAAAAGTGATTGAAAGAAAATTCTACTGTTTGAAATTGCTTGGAAATTTTCTACGGTTTCCTGCAAAAATTCGTTACGTACTTTACATTGCGCGTTTTACGTTTCATTCGTTACAGTCCATTAATATTCAATGACAACGTCATTCGATCAACTGAAAATTAACGCACGTGGAAAGTTCTTTGCTTTGGCATTAAATAGAAATCTTCCAGTCCTTGCTGCGATTCTGCTTCTAATTTTAACTTATTACATGTAGCCCAAGTAAACAATTATCATACATTGTTAGTTAAACTATCACGTGTTGGAAAATTTGTTGGGTAAGTGGCGGCGAATGACGTATGCTGGCAAAACTTTCGATAGGTGATGTAATTTAATCAGGCCATCAGGTTTTTATAATCTTCTCTGTTAATCCACCACAGGCATATGTATAGCTAATTACGCTCGAATATTTTCTGCGATTCTAGACATCAACATTTTCCGCTTGGTAATGTAGCAATCACCAGTACTGAAGATAATTTAAAACTCGAGATCAGGCATTTCCGAGATTTGTATTTTATGCGCAAAATGTTTCTAAAACGTCAGGGACTTGTGTATTATATAACTTCAATCTCCGTACGAAGTCTCAGTTTTATCAGAGAGTAAAGTTTTATTATAATTATACTACGAACGTTCGTTTAAAACATGTTTATTCAAAATGATAGCTATACTGTGGTTACCATTCTATTTATTATAACATTTATATACTACTCGACTCCAAGTATACAGGTTGTCTGCGAAATTATGCTACAAACGTTCGGTTGGTGATTTTACAGACAAAAAATAGTCGGAGAAGAAGAATAACATTTTTCCCTTTGAAGCTTTGTTTTCCAGAGAAATTAGCTGGAAGCTATCCGTCAGATAGCCGTGTGCTAATTGTAAGTTTCCATATAATATAATTATATATAATTTAATAAGATAAGCAGAGTTATGTGTACAGCAACACGGTCGACTTGTTACGTAAATGAAATGATTTACAAAAAGTAATACCCTTGTCCTTATTTATGAAAGCATTCCAAACGCGGACAGTGCGGAAATAAGATAACAGCAACGATAGGAAGCAAACCGTGACACTGTTCACGTTGATAAATATCGACACGAGGGGAAAGAGAACTCGGGTAACTGGAAACCTACAATTAGATCACACGGATACCTAGCGGACCTTCAAACCGATTTTTCTTGAAAGCGAAGCATTAATTTCTTAGGTACGACGCGCCACTATAGTGGCTCACTTTACTTACTCATTCGTTCACCGTTTGAAGTAAACTAACTTTTTCATTTGTCTTGCATCACACTTCTTTTGCCCTCGCAATAACAGTGTTATAACAGTATTAACAATATACAGGAAGAATATATAGTCTTTGTTTTCGATACCAATTGTTGCTTTTCGTTAAAATAAATATACCATTGTTAGATGCTCTTTTCAACACGCCAATCCGTATCCTTATAATTTTTTGGAATCTTCAACTTCAAAATGTAGCTTCAAAATAGAAAACGAAGAGCAATTTGAATAGTACTATCGCGCTATGAGTGTAAAAATTGTGACCTGGGTCTATGTGTCGTACAGCGCTTTAAAACATATTACCCTCAACTGTATTATTAATTATTAAAGTAAATCATTAAAGTTATATGTATCATACCTTTAAGAAAAATTATAATTTAATTATCAAAAACTTCCTTCCAATGTTCTTGCGTAGAGAACAGCATCATCCGTCACATATTGCAGTGCTGTATTGTTTTCGCGTCAAACTCTGCCGTACGGAGAAACAGCCCCGTACAAAAATCAAGAGGTTAAAGGAAACAATGTTATTCTTCTTTTTCTACCAATTTTTGCGTGCAGAATCATCAGGCAACCGCTTATACCGTGATTTCGAGGCACTCTGTATTAAATTTCCTATCGTTCGGAGGTAAAGATGAAACGTGTAGAACCTGACTGAAAAACGCGCCGCTAGAAGACGAGAACAGGTGCAAATTGCAGAAGACTAAAAAGTCTATGTATGTTTGAATAATTAACAACGTCTCACCGTCGAATGTGTGTTTACCAAACAGCAAATATTGCCAAAATCGTGGAAAAACGCATCGTTGGACGCTCGATGGCCTGGCATCTGAAAAGGGAAAGTATCGTTTTGCACAGACAGAATGTCGACTTACCAAGCATCTTGGAACCCTGAACAGGACTCAGAGGGTAAAAATCGCCGTGGAGAGGGCAATGGAAGCCAACCCTGCGCTCTCTTCTTCGCGCCCTTCTAGTCAGCGTGCAAAGCAGCACGCCGAGGGCGAGCATAAGGGCGCCCACGACTATGCAGATCGGTCCCAGAATCCGCGAATTGCCCGTGAACGCGATTCTAGCCGCGTACGAGTCCTTGTCTTCATCCTGGCCGGGACCGCGATACGACGCAGCTGAAACAGACAAATGAAGCAGGCGTAAGCACCGAGTCAAGCAATATCGGTCATTTTCCCGCCCTCTGGTGAACGATTAATCGACACCTGTGTGGCGGTAATTTCTCTCCTCTCTTTGCTTCGACTCTCCTTCGCGTCCCTTTCGAAACGATCGCCTCTTTTCTGTTCCTTTCGACCGTTCTTTTTTTTCTTTCTTTTTTCTTTTTATCACTTTCAATTTCTTTTCCTCGTATTAAACGAGAACTCGCAAACGACGATGGAATTTTTAAGGCACGGCGGATAAAGGGACGCGTAATGAGGTTTCGTAATTCAAAGCCCGGACCTGGGACCAGCTTCCCTCTACCTTCTTTCGGGATTTTCGGCCGCGTTATTAATGTTTCAAATTTAATCTCGCCGAGTGCTCGCGGCTAAGTTCACGCTTCCACGAACGTGCGCGCCATATCAAACTGCTGTGCAATACTCGCTGCGAGGAAACGGTGCAAAAGGGAACAAACAGAGAAAAAGAGAGGGAGAGGGGGAAAGAGGCGAAAGAGAGAGAAAGGTGATTTTGCAGGGCAGGTGATTTTCAATTAAACAAGCAAGGAAAGACGACGGTGGGATTGCTAGTACCGTTTCGAACCCATTACAGGGAAATTGGTACTTGCCGCGTGAAAATTATGATCGGCGGTAATATCCCGCCGCCGTGGTTAATTAAGCTCCTTCAAATTGCGATAGACATTTGTTGCAAGGACAAGTTAAAGAAACAAGCTTTCTAGCAGTGTTTTGCTACACGCTGCAGTTTCACTTCTGGAGATGGATGCAGACCAAGTGACCCAAATTTCGGTCTGATCAATTTCTGTTGTTAAATGCTGCAGCCGATAAACGGTAATTGCAGTTTGAAATAGAAACGCTGTTGGTTAAGTGAGAGAAAAAACAAAGGAATTGGCTGTTTCCAGAGTTTTCTGCAAAGTGCTCTGTTTTTTCGCCAGTACACCATCTTCTTTCTTAATATATAATCTTTAATTTCTATATTAAAATTTAGCTCCTGAAATGACGTATCGTATTAGATTTCACTAATTTCAATGAATAAAAAGACAATACTTTGTAATCAACGTATTTAACGATATTAAGTATAAGACATATAATCTTAGAATATAAGCAATAATACAATGATATTATTGACATTATTTTTAAAAACTACATTTTTCTGTTTAAACATATAATGTAGAAATATCGACGATGAAGAATTAGACGTTTATTTGTATAATAAATATAAAATATTAATAAATTCCTGCAACACAAGTCTCGACGACCTTCCAGTCTAAACTCTTTCTGCCATACTCACACAACCCGCATGTAACCATTCAATAATATGAGTATCACGTTAATACTATGTATTTCATTTATTATAATAAATTAACTACATTTATTCCCATAAAAAGCGATGTGTTTAAGGGGCCCAAATTTCGTTTGCTGATGAATCTTTCTTGTTAGGTGCTCCTGCCTATAAGTGGCGATTGGAATTTAAAATAGAAATGTCGCTAGTTCAGTGACAGCAGAAACGAAGGAATTCGCCACTAGATTACGTCTTAATATACGAAGTCGTATTTCAACATCTAAAGTATGTAATTCTAGAACTTATTTTTGGCGACGCTTGGCATATTGCTTCTATTTTTATATTCCAAAGTGGCGATCTCGTTCTGTCACTTATCTATATATTATTGTTGGCAATTATATTAAAAAATGCCTTTGAAATTATGGACGAGTGTTTTGGAAAGAAATACGAAAAAGGGTCATCGAATGAAAGCGAAGAAGAGCAAGAGGTGGCCTGCTTCAAAATGACTTAAATGCGCCAGGAGTTTTTATGGAACTTAACTACCATGTCACGCGAGAGTTAAATCTCTATTGTTATTAAAATTCAACCTAATCTCAATTTGCATAGTATAAACGAAATAATTTAATTAATTTTTCTTCCAGGAGATGGAATTTCTCGTCTCTAAGAACTACAAATTTCGTGTAAAATCTAAAATTTGCGAATGGAATTTGTTAGAAATCACGGAAAATTTAAATATCTTACTGACAAGTGAACTTGAGCATTCGTTGTGCTTGCATCGTACGAACGTGTGTTCTTATTGCCAAATTTTTTCACTATTGTACACGCAATAGAGACTTTCATCGTTTGTAAATAGTCTACAGCTGCTTATGCGTTTATGGGAAATTTAATACTAGGACTATCACACAAGTCAAATTGACTGGTTCTACAATTTTATTTTAAAATTCCTACTTCATGTTATATTTTTCTCCGCAATGATGTAATGACTTTCGCAACGATAACTAAAAGAATAATATAATGAACTTTATTTTGTTTTTTATGTATTCAAACTGAAAATAATTTCGTATCAAGGCTATTTATACCAATATCAGTAAAAATGACTGGTACTTGTCGAAGTGTAAAAGGGTGCTGCAATCTGTTTAACGAACCCCAATTAACCAGTTTCCTCGTTTTGTACAACTTGCCACAAGTTTTGAAAATTTTTACTGCGTATTATCCGATATGACGATATCAATTATCAGGAAAATTCAGGATCGATCGCTATACTAATATACTAACACTAGAAATGCCACACCGGTCAAAGTGACTGGTTCTACAATTTTATAAATGTGTCAACCCTCATTTAGATATCCCAGATGGATTAAAAACACCAAAAATGTACTACATAACATGGAATTGCTTCTGTAAGAAAGTAATAAATCAATAAATATAAAAATATTCTATTATTACGTATTTCTTAAAGACATTTTCACTGGTTTTGGTAGAAAAATGGCTTCGTGTTAACTATCGGTAGTTCTAGTGTTAGAGACGCGTACTGCACATGAAAACACGCTGAAATATGTAAAATATTCAAAGTATAGAGCTCGCCATAATATTTATCAAGAGAGAAAAGTCTCTACTCAACTTCCATTTTCTTAGTCTTGTTCGTAAAAAATATAAATTCGCTGTTTATAAGTAATTAATAAACACGATAGAATATTCTTCAGGCTACTGGCAAGTTTCGTAGATGCTTCGATTTTAGAATAACAAAAGCATACATAAACATACGATGGCTAACGCACACACGGTCAGATGCAATTCACGGGACGTGTTAAAATTAACTTAACGCGGTACGAACAACACTAACGCGTTCGTGTCACCGCGCTGCTGTTCACCGGAACTGTGAACGTCGTATTGCAAACTAGTCCGTGTATGGACATATAATATGCGTTCTGTTGATAATCACTAGGTAAATCATTCGCTACTGATGCAAGTAAATTAATTGGAAAATCCTGTTCCATGAACGTCAAAACCTGACTATAATGTTTTCGTCTAAATTTTCAGTATAATGGGACGTCGAGGGTCCTAGCTACAGCCGATTTGCTCCAAATTTAGAATACTCTTGCTCCTTTTTAATCCCCTTAGGCTATTTTCTTCACTACCACGTCTTTAGGATTAAACCAACCAATTAATTCAATTTCTGCCTTCTCTTCTCAAAAGTCATCAGAATTCCTCCCTTGCTTTAATTCTCCGAAGAATACAAGTTGGAAACTAAAATTACATAAAATTTCTAATTATCCATTACAATTTATTACACGTAATTTAATGCTACTATTACATTCTAATTAATTTGTAACGATATTTTTATCACCTACATACAGATCTCTGTGTTTTTCTTTACAACAGATTTTTTTTACCTAAATAATTACCGAAATTGTTGAGCAAATTAAATTTTGTTATTAAAGCAGCTGTTGTCTTTACGTATAGGAAGATATGAAGAAGCTGCTCCGCGTTAGTTTTACATACCGAGAACACTGTTCTATCTCGCAAATGTTAACGATCGACATCAGTTAGAAATGACGAAGTTTAATTGCGAAATGATCTGGCGCCTGTTAAGATCTCGTACTCTGACGACGTGTTTGTGAGCGAGTCCAAGTGTTGGAATTTCATCTGTATGCAAAAGTTCTAATGTAGTAGCTTCTGTCAAAGACCTGAGAAACTTACCTGCCACTTATCTCGTACCGTATTAATTTGCACGATAACAGTACGCACGTATGTTTGCCAAGTGGTCGTATATAAAACTGATAAACTCGACTGACAGATCTTATTTCGTGTTTATTTTCACATTAATCCATTAATTTGTGATTCCAAAAGAGATACATTTTCTTCTAACGGGAACTATACGATCACGAAGAGGATTAGCATTACAAAAGTAATGTGATTTGCGAGATCTCTCGTTGCATAAAGAAGACATATTTTTCTAATCCAACTAGAAGAAACCATGTAAATATGCTTTTTGAAAAACACGTTCGAACATAGAAGCAGCCACTTCATTGCATAAACATTGAGATTACGTAGCTGGAGGTTGTCAAATAAAATAGAACGTAGCTTAATACAACGATCACTAACTTGATCAAGCTTTATCATCTCAAAGGTTCAACAAATTCGATCGTAAAAAAGATTTTTAAAGTGGCACGCAGAGCCGTAAGTACGATCTCTTCGTTTTTTAAATTCAGGTACTAAGAGATCTCAGAAAAATGTCGTAGGCGTGTATAATCCTCGAGAAACGTTCATCCTCCTTCTGATAGGATTTTCTCCAAAATGAGATGCTAACGATAAACATTGCAATCTCCGCGTAATTTCAAATTGCTCACATCAGCAAGGAGAATGTATTTGCTAGATAAAATCTGATAAGCCGCCGTCGTATTGTAAAGAACGATTAATTTGCTGATGGTGTGAATGTCGTAAATAGTAACCAACCATCTTCAAGGAAGACATTCGCAATCCTGAAGGGATAGCAGTTTTTATGATTATGCGACAATTTCCTTCACGCTCCCGTTAAAGCTTCTCCTCGTTTAACCAGAACGCTGTCTCGATGTCATGACTCGTTTAGAGAGACTTGTCTGGCTGAAAATCGTACGTTGAAAAGTATCGAAATTTTTAATCGCTTCTGGTGGAACATAGAGTAGATCGTGGAAATAATTTGAAT